GTAAATGTGTTATTATTGAAAGGATTTTTCTCAATTTGACACTCATGAATGTTGATGATAGAATATGAAGGATTCTTCAATATAAAGTATACCTTGAATTGGTAGGGCTTATGCATCATTTTCTTGTATAAATGATTATATTGTTGATTGTTGAATCCTTGGATCGGTAGGCTAATGGCACCCTTCCATTAATGATAAGTAATGAACCTTGGATTCGGTAGGCCTATGGCACCTTTCCATAAAGGTTAATGATGAGACTTGAATCGGCAGGCCCATGGCACCCTTTCAAGAGGAGTTAATGAGCTTTCCTAAATGAACCTTGAAACGGTAGTCTTAAAGCACCCTTTCATGTGTTAATAAATGTAATTTGGAGTTGGTAGGCCAATGGCACCTCTCATATGTGATAATGTCAAGATAACGAACTATTCTATGGGAATGTTGGCTAAGCACCGAGTGGATTTGGTTAGATGGAAACTCCCCCAATAGTTAGGCATGAGTTTCAATGATCGTCTACCTTATCCCATAAACTATGTGCCCGCATAGGAAGCTAGTGGATCCATTAAGCTATATATACCGGTCTTCCTTAGGCAAGTAGACCACCTCTTTACGGTGTGGGGACTTATGACACCGGATTCCATGACAAGCTCTCATGGTCTATGTCGGTTAAATGCTTACTTCCCATCATGTGAGATTTCATTATGGTTTCTTGACAGGTTCTACAAAGTGTAGGTAGTAGTATGGGATGCTACCTATACATTGCACGAGTAGGCTTGGAGAGGGTCATAGTGAGTTTCTCTAAATCCTAATGTATGTGATACAATTGTGGCCTAAATGAGGTTATTAAAGAATGTTGGCTCTCAAATGCTTAATATGAGATGCATGCTATACTTGGGTTATATTACGAGTTATTTTCCCTTGTCATGTCTTAATTAGTGATATACCTCTTATGTATGAATATTGTGCAAAGGTGAAAGAAAGGAATGATAAGTTACCTTAAGTGACCTTAATGTGGTGCCTTAGTATGGATGGTGGTATGGGACGCCATCCATACATTGCACGAGGTATAGCATAAGGGTTTCTTGAGGTGAAGGTCCAAGGTAAAGGTTTTCATGTTGATATTGTTTAAAGGTGATATTATGACTTACTTGATGTTTATGCTTGTATTGTATGTCTTTTATGCAACTATTCATGGTACTTCAAAAAGTGGCATAATGCATGGTTTCTAACCAAAATGTCCCTTTTAAAGCATGTTTTGCATGGTCATCATACTTAGTACATTTTGTGTACTAACCCATATTCTTCATATTTTTACTATAAGTGTAGGTTCCGGCAAGTGATCCCTCCTAGCTAGTTTGAAGTGTTGGATTGCTTTCCTCCAAGACTTGGTATGTCCTCATGGATTCGAGGATAAGACTTTTAAGTTCTTTTGTTCATGTAATAGACTTAATAGACTTCTTTTGATTGTAAAGGGTCGTGTCCCTACTTATGTTTTGTGACTGTGTCTAAGATGGCCATGTGAGACTTAGAGTTCCGCTGTGTGTTTTTAAAGTTGTTTTAATGAAGTTTAAATGTGTGGATGTAAATAAGTTTTTTTTTTATTCCGCACTATTTTTATTATTGAATGCAATGAATGACTATGTGGCTCGTATAAGACCCCTTCGAGGTCGAATACGCCATGTTACGACTAGGGGGTACTCTCGGGTCGTGACAAAACTGCTGATGTGACACCGAGAAAGCACCATGTGAAGGGCTAGATTCCATATGCACTTCTCTTTGCTTTTCATCTTGAATGAGCAAAGAGTATGCCTGACTGACTGAAGGCAGAGGATCCATCATAAAGATACTACTCTTAACGCTTGAGTAAGAGCTATTAAGTCCCATGAGGAACTGAATCAACCTCCCATTCTGATGGGACTTGATGGTTTTTATTTTGCCTCCACAAATACACGCACAAGAACAATGATCTAGAGTAATGAAAGCATCAAGCTCATCCCAGAGTTTCTTAATTCTAGTAAAATAACCTGCTATATCAGTGTTACCCTGTACTGCATCAGAGAGTTCCTTTTGAAGCTGATATAGTTGTGCACCATTGCATTGTCCAAATCTGGCTGATAGATCTTTCCATATTTCTTTTGCAGTTCTAGAGTTGAGGACAGATTTAGCAATGTCCTTGGAAAGAGAGTTGAGGATCCATGAAATGACCATGTCATTACATCTAGCCCAAAGCTTGTGAGTAGGATCGGAAGGCAGAGGCTCAGCTAGACTGCCATCGATCAGTCCAAGTTTGTTTTTGGCTGATAAGGCAATGACAAGAGCACGACTCCAGCCAGCATAACCCTTACCATCGAAAGGGGAATTGACCAACAGCATTCCAGGGGAATCAGAAGGATGAATATAGAAGGGACTGGCAAAGTCAATGAGAATACTGGACTGAGTGCCTGGCTGGACTTCTGATGAAGAAGGAGTATCAACCATTGCAAGGAGAAGCGAAAATCAAGATTAGATGAAAAATGAGAGGGAAGAAACGTAAAAGAGAGCACCTATTACTTTGATACCATGTAGGAAAACAGAATATTTGGGAAATTTTTCTCTCTTGCATTCATCGTTATATCAAACCCATTTATATATACAAGCTAAAAGAAACAAAAAGAAAGTTTTACCCTAACTAATTCCCAGCTGTCCCTTCTCCTATTGGCTGTGATAATAACAAACTTTTATTCTCTAGAGATATTTACAAAATCTGGATAAGAGAAAATATAAGATGGGCTGAGGAGGAAAATTCTGAATGTGGCCCATAACATTAATTCCAAAATGAATGTCCATAAACTTGGTCCCAAACATTATGAATTAGATGATGCATTTTTGGATTTCTTCTTCTCAGGTGAGGAAGGAGAATCATGTTCAACAGGCTAGCCATTCTTTGGATTGATATTGCATATATAGACCATAACTTATATAAATAAACATTTAATTGTTTCCAATTACATATTAAAAGATGTTTTCTAGTGGTGAAAAATTGCACACACAAATTCCTACTATAAGTACCAATTCACTTTATAGTTTGAAATAATTATATATTATTTCATTAACTAATAATTTCGTATCAAATTTTAAGTCAAATATACCGTTTCTTCAGATATCAAGTCAATTATATGTATTAAAGATACTAAATATTATGTATTATTGATATGGAATATATTCTGAAACACAAAATTATAGGGAGAGACGCGAGCGAGAGAGAAGAGAGAGTCAAGTGAGAGAAACAATATATCTCCTGATATATGCAAATCACACTTGGATATAGTGTATATAAAACAAATAACACCTAATTTGACATGTATGTATCTGAGATACATGTATTTCATTGTGCCACATACATGTATATGGCAAAATAATTATAATACGAAAAGTTATTTCAAAAACTAAAATAAAGGCACGTAATTATACCTTAAACTATATATTTATCCACATGTATGCATTTATAAATTTTACCCTTTAAAAAATTGTGTTACAATAGTAAAGCACAATGCAACAATATTTTAAAATGTAGAGCGTGAGGCGAGATGTTTTAGGTATTGTACTATGAGAGGCATAAGCCCTAAAACACAAGACGCCAGTCTCATCGATCTGCTGAGCGTAAGTCTCATGCATAGTCACACAAATATATATTACTTATGTTAGATCACAATTTTTTTTAAAAAAAAATCTCTCTTTCTTAAATTTCATATTCAGTTAAATTACATCATGTAAATCAAAACGAAGAAAATATAATTTATTTAAGTATACATTCATCAAAAATAATAGAGAGAAGTATTGAAAATACCCCCTATACTCGACACAAACTATTAATTTCATCTCCAAGCTATTGACACTATTAAAAACACCCTTTTACTTAGCCATGCGAACTTAAATATAAACCAAATTTGCAATATAAGTGAAATACACACTAAATTCTTGCTAAGTTTAGAGATGTTTTCAACCGTTCTCTTGATTCTTTTATTAGGAGTCTCATGCCCCTACAAGAGCTTGAGACCACTCACTATGTCATGTGGCGAATGAAGGGAATATCTAAATTTAAATTTTTAGTAAGTCAAATAAAAAAGTATTTTTAAGACGATCAATAATTTAAAGACAAAACTAATAATTTATACTAATTTTAAGAGTGTTTACGATATTTCTCTCTCCAAATAATACTTATAATACTGATACATGAAATGACAAGTAACAACCTTCCAAACAAAGTTGGATCCCAATATTTTTAACTCACTGGTTTTGCAAATTTAGTGACAAAAAAGGAGGCAATTTAACCAATATAGCAAACAAAACAATTCCCTTACACGTGTCACTTAACGCCGTTTAAACAAAACCATCCTTCCCGTGAAATTCTTATGTTTATTTTGTAACCCCCAAACGGAAAAACGCAATAAGCATTTGCAAATCGCCGTCTAAAACGACCTGACTTCTCTCTCTCTCTCTACATATATATAACCCACCCATCCCCCCCCCCCTCTCTTCACTAATCGCTTGATTTCTCTGCTACACCGTCGCCGGACGGCGAATTTCACGGTAAGGATTGATCGGTTTATTCTGTATTTACAGAGATTTGATATGTTTATATAGTTTGGAATTTGTTGTATGTACTTATTTGAGCTGAAGAGTTTGTTTGATGAATGGATATGTGTGATTGACTAGGTTTAGAGATAAGTAATGGAAATTCTGAGGTTTCTGGGGAGATGATTGCTGATTGTTTTTTATTTTATCATTTTATTAGATTTTGGATGTCTATGACCTCCGTTGTGTTTGATACATTTTTAGGTTTTTTTTTTTTTTTTTGCAACAGGGACTCACTCCGCAATAGTGATTTCTTGCAAATTAGTTAGATGTGATTGAGTTTTTTTTTAATAATAGAATTGGTGAAATGAATCTTAGGTTTAGTTCGGGGATCTGATTTAATGGATATTTTGCTTTATTGTGTAATAATTATCACGAATGATAACATGTTTATAAGATTTGTTGAATTTGGTTTTGCTGAACAGTAATGTTTGTGCTGACTCTTCAGCATGAAGTTCTTTCAGTTTGTGCTTTTTTGTAGTAATTAACACGGAGAATAACTCTTGTATCATATTCAGTGAATTGGATTTCATCGAACAATAGTGTTTGTGTTGACTGTACTGTATGTAATTCTTCACTAGGAAGGTTCTTTTCTTTTATGGGATTATTCTCTTCTAATGCCTTGTTGTTGAAGTATGTTAGACCTATAGAATTTTACAAAATTGGAAATCACAGTTCCGTTTTGAGCTGAAAGTGATCTTTTAAAAATGGGAAATTTATTTTCTAGTGGAATGTTATATTGGTATTTTCAATGAATATTTTTTTCTCTTCTAAGAGGCATCTCTTCCCAGATTTTCAGAATTAACTGTTGCTACTTTCTGCATAAATCTTATTCTATTGGGTGTGAGAGTGTTGTATTGGGTGACTTGGTGGTGCAAGCATGATGTATGGCGATCTCTGTACAAAACTTGAATGGGTTTAACAATGCAAGCAACCTGGAAAATATCCATGTTGAGTTTGGAGATTGGCTCTTGAATGCCTCGAAGTGTCCAATTAATATGGCATGTATGAAAGCATTGGGACCCAAACCCTTCACATGCTATATGTGTTCAATATGAAGGATAATTCGTACTGCGTTCTTGTGTACCAAAAAGATTTTGCTGCGAAAGTTAAAATGCATATGTGCTTTGCTTTCGATAGTTTTGATTTTTTGACTTCATTCTTTTTTGTTGTTTCAGAAAATTTAACTCTCAAATTTGAATCGTGAAGTAACATACTGGCATTTTCATTGGTCTGACTGATAGCTGCCCAAGTATTGTATGCTTTGTGTGTAAGCAAGCATGGGTTCCGCTTGCTGTGTTGCTGCCAGAGATAGAGCTGTTCTAGATGAATCAAGCTGTGAAAATTTGCAGAGAAATGTCCGCCAATCTCCTACATGGAGCTTTCGGTGGGATAATCGGGGACGAGTGGCTGGGGAGGAGACGCCAGTGAATTGGTCTTCTGATGGAATTGGTGGCAATGACGGATTAGAATTTAAATCTGGAACAACTGTAGGAACAGTATATGCATCTGAAGAGGGTAGTCCATTGGATAGTTTCAGATCACTTGCATGGCAGAAGTCACCAGTTTCTGAAAGAAATAATCGAAACTTTTCACTTCCTTTATTGGGTTAGTACTTGCATCGCTCTCCCTTTTGCTTTTGTATGAAACAAACTGATAAATACGTAACAACTAGGTGATTATGCAAATTGAAGAGAAATAAGATGTCAAGTTCTGATTGCAAATGATGAATTTGAATCGCCTTTTATTTTTCCCTTTTTGAACTTTGTGAAATATGAGAATACCTAATTGGATGACATAATGGTGGATGCTTTGTCATCCTGTGTGGGGAATGTGGAGGTAAAACTTTATCAAAGATCACAAGTACTCTTCAGGAAGAACTAATCAGCTAATACTAGCAGACCAAATTCTCACACGAGAGATGTTCATTAGGTTTAAATGTAGAGAAGGGTAATGTATAGAGTTGATTTTAGGTTAAAAACAGGAGGTAGAGAGCACTGAAATGAAATATGTTGCATGTGTGTGCTTCTCGGATGTAAAATTGTTTAGCCTTACAATGAGCTTCCTTTTTATTGTGAATTTTGTTTGGGTGTCAAGTACTCTACAAGTGAGCTTTGTTGCTTCTGAGATGTCTAGATTTGTCATAGAGAAGATTGAGCTGCTGGCAGTGGTGAATGATGGCTACTCTGTCTTGATAAGAGGATATTATCAAAAGATGAAGTTAAGTAGTGGAGGGGGTTGAAAATATAGACTATTTGCATGTTCTCCAATTGGGGAGCTGCTAGTAGCTTAAGCTGAAAATGTAGTTTCTTATGCTTCTTGTGGTGCTGCTATGATCAACTTTTTTAGATCATGGAACATATAAAATATTTTGTTTGAAAGGTGGTTGTTAAAATTAATAGTTACTTGTCACTTGCTTTATCAAAGGATAAAGAATACTTTAAGTTGTCACTTGCTTAATTATAGGGTTGTTGGTTGTTACTTTTGAGTTTTCGGGAACAGAAATATTAGGTTTTGTTGGAATGTCCTCTGCTACCCCTTCAAAGTTGAGATCAAATATTTGTTCTCAAAGAAACTCGCAATCTCCAAGTTCTCTTGTATGCCTCATATATATGCCTTGCATTTGTATTTTTATTAGAGTGAAGTATAACATTAGTTAAATATGGTGAGTACTTTTTCATTTTCTTGCTTATGTAGACTGCTATTTTCCTCAACCTTTAGGAAATGTCAACCCTACCTCTTTACTCTGAGAAGATCGATTGCTAAAGTACACTTCTCCTCTATTTTGGACCGTCATTTTTTAGTCAGAATTTTTTATGAACAAGGGTCAATCTTTGTTGATATCAAAGAAGCACTAAGTTAATGCATCAAAACATAGTTGCAGTTCATGTTAAGTAGTTACTGTATCAATAATGCCATTTACATTCTCTTGCAAGGCTATGTATGCCTCCTTTTTTTGCCATAAAAGTTTCTCTCTATCCAGTCTGTCCACCATACAGCCTGAGGAATAGTGTTCCAACTGTAACTTGCATTTTTATTGAGATCTCTTTTACTCCCAAATTTTTTGAAACTCTACCGTCGAGTTATGCATTGACAGGCTAATTCTCAGGATGTTTAGAAAAGGACTCCAGATTTGAGAGGTAACTGTACAGTGTAAAAATAGATGATTCAAATCCTCTGATTGCTCCTCTCATTACGAACATTTACTGCATAAATGGAACCCTCCCTCTGGAGTTTGGGTGGCTGAGGCTCTAAGCATCATTGGCTACCACCAAATAAAGTAATTCACCTTGGATGGAGCCTGCTGCCCCAAATTTTCTTCCATGGCTACGAACTTGTGTCAGGAGGAGTTAACTACTTGTAGCTAGATTGGCTGAGAACAAGCCTTTGGAATGTTTCATTTACTCTGGGGGACCAGACTTGCTTAGAGCTGTAAATATGCTGTTAGGTTCAAAAGTCACAACAAAAGACATGTATGTTCTATCTCCCAAACATAACAATGTCCTGTAAAGAATGAGGTTCCAATTTAATGTCATCCAGCAGTAGCATTTTGCTGAGACGTATAGTGTACAAATCTGGAAATTGATCCACGAGAGGAGAAGTCCCCAGCCAGTCTTCCCAAGGTTAATCTGTTCATCATCCTCCAGAAGTGATCTTGTGTTGGAAAATAATTCTCCCAGAATGATCTAATGAATTTCCATCAAACTGTGCCATGCAGAGTGTCCTTAATTTTGTCATCTAGTGATCTAGTAAAGAATATTTATCTTTCACAATTCTCCTCCATAGGGCATTGTTATCTTTATTAGATCTTCTCAACCATTATATAATAAGTCTTCTTTGTATGTTTTCAAATCTTTTTACTCCTGGACCGCTCTATCTCTTATCTGCGGCGACTCCATTTACCAGACTAACCTTCTTCTGTTTGTTACCTTGCCAAAGAATATTCTTTTTTCAGCTTGTTCAATCTGTCAATGACCAAACTGGGGGAGGGAAATAGGAGAATAGTGTTAGTAAGGTATTGAGTACACTATTGATGCCAATAAATCTACTGCTCCAGTCTTCCCAAGGTTAATCTGTTCATCATCCTCCAGAAGTGATTTTGTGTTGGAAAATAATTCTCCCAGAATGATCTAATGAATTTCCATCAAACTGTGCCATGTAGAGTGTCCTTAATTTTGTCATCTAGTGATCTAGTAAAGAATATTTATCTTTCACAATTCTCCTCCATAGGGCATTGTTATCTTTATTAGATCTTCTCAACCATTATATAATAAGTCTTCTTTGTATGTTTTCAAATCTTTTTACTCCTGGACCGCTCTATCTCTTATCTGCGGCGACTCCATTTACCAGACTAACCTTCTTCTGTTTGTTACCTTGCCAAAGAATATTCTTTTTTCTGCCTGTTCAATCTGTCAATGACCAAACTGGGGAGGGAAATAGGAGAATAGTGTTAGTAGGGTATTGAGTACACTATTGATGCCAATAAATCTACTGCCCAAGGAAAGATGTTGACATTTCGGATTTGAAAGTCTTTTTTCCACCTTCACTAGAATGCAGCCCCAAATAGAAATAGACCTGAATTTTTCCCAAGGGTAATCCCAGATATATGGGAAGGTTGCCAATATTGCAATTTAAGATGTAGACCAGTCATTTAATGTTGGGAACAATGTCTACAGGAAACTGGAATGTCTTTGAGAAATTAATATGACGACCAGTAATCATTCTGAAAAAAAGAACTTGTTGCTCTTCAGCTTCACAAGAAATCAAAGTATCATATGAATATAAAATGTGAGAGGTGTTCAAATCTCCTCTGTGGTCTGCTGCATAACCTTTCATATAACTGAGGTGAACAGTTTTTGAGAACAATTTACTTGGTCCTTCCATAACAAGAATAAAAGAGGATGGAGACAGGGGATCGTGTGTGTATATATATATATTGTGTCGGGGAAGCACCAAAGTACAAAGTTGAATTACCATTTACCCCTACACTAAATTATAATATATAAAAAATCTAATTAATTATATATTAAGTAGAAAAATTTCTATGATATTTTTATCTTAAAAAAGTAAAAACTTCTCATAATAAATTGGGTCTTTTCTACTACTCATAACATCTCATAATAAATTGAGTATTTTCAACTACTCCAACATCTCATAAGTAATTGAGTATTTTCTACTTTTCCTAACATCTCATCATAAATTAGTCATTTCTATTATTTCATTTTGGTTAAAATGTTCACACTTTATTGAGTTTTCTTCTCCATCAGGGTACTTATCATCCCCATCCCTGGAGGGAGTATTCATGTATTCATGTATTTGTGTCAAAGCAAGGTTCCGTGACTTTTTACTGCATTTGGGTGATCATGATACGATTCAATACATGTATCAGTTTAATTTTTATTTGTCATGCATGATAGTTAATTTAAGGAGCTAAGTTCTTTTATACTCCCTCTATCCCAATTTATGTGACGCTTTTTGTTTTTTCGAGAGTTTATGTTTGACCGGTAATTTATGCATGGAATCTTCTAATTTTTTGTTTGAATCTCGAAATCTGAAAAGTGCCACATAAATTGGGATGGAGGGAGTATTCATGTATTTGTGTCAAAGCAAGGTTCCGTGACTTTTAACTGCATTTGGGTGATCATGATACGATTCAATTCATGTATCAGTTTAATTTTTATTTTTCATGCATGATAGTTAATTTAAGGAGCTAAGTTCTTTTATTATAGTATGTATTTTTGTATAAGTTAAAGTACTACAATGTTGCTAAAGTAATATCAAATTTGCAATATTTTCTAACCTCAACTTATATATGAGTCATTACGTTTTTTGTGTGTTCTGATTTTTATTTTATAGCATAGAGAAAGTCCAATAGTATATGTATCATTTAAAATTTATCATTTGCAATACAAAATTTGTATTAAATATTTTAAGATAAACGTTCAATGCATGTTCATTTAAAATTTATCATTTTCAATACAAAATTTGTATTAAATATTTGAAGATAAATGTTCAATGCATGTTACCAGTGACTAGTTCCTCTATAAGCTGAAAAGGAGTCATGAGCAGCTCCATTGATAAGAACAGAGAATCTTGTTGATCTCATCTGGAAACAATTTTTCAATGTTGCTTTTTATAGATGGAAGTAGTAGGGATGGGACATGATAACTTCAATTGTAATTTTCTTTGGAATGTTGCGTTTTATAGATGGAAGTAGTCGGGATGGGACATGATAACTTCAATTGTAATTTTCTTTGTTGAAATGTCATGCCTTTAATTCTTCCAAAGGCATTGTTCTATGATTTTGATTCTTCTTGCCTTCTTGATGTGATGAAATATTTACAGCATATCATATGGTAGAAGTCTTCTACTGACTCATCATATCTTTATTGGAGGCCATTTACCCCAAAGATAGATTGTGTTCTTTTATATACCCTATTATATGTTTTTGTTTTGCCCCCTGATGATACTGTTTGTTAAGGGATTTTTTTTTGTACGATTTTGATGTGTAAATTGCTATGGAAGCCATAACCATTATTCTTCTTGTGACTTATCTTTTACATGTAAGTATAACAAAACATTTTATTTTCCCTCTTCTCCTTAGATTCTATATACTATGAAAATATAAGTAGCCCTTTATGGATGGAAATCATGTTTGTTTGGAAAATGACTATTATTATTTGTCTTTGCAGATCCCTTGGCTGAGAGGAATTCCACTGAGGTAATAACAGCGCATTTTACTTATTTCTGAAGACAATTTCATGGCATATTTATGAGTTTTTGACATTCCTGCTTTCTTTTTTTTTCTGATAATTAGGTTAAAGAATTCGCTTGTTCATCAGCACTTTCATTCCCCTCTCCTGTAAAGCTATCTCCATCCGCTCCCTCTGTTTCATCTTTATCTGCATCTCCTTTATCATCGCGTGGCCAGCTGCCTCCTGCTAGCTTTACTCCGTGTTTGCCTCGCCATTCTTCAGCGCACCAACTGGGACAGCAAGTTTCTGATAGCCGTGTACCAGGGATGAAGTCACCTACATTTTCAATTTCCGAAGAATCATCTTCTTTTGTGCTCCTCCCTGGTTGGAGTAATGATTCAACTAGGGGCTCTCATGGTGGATCATCAGATGGTTGGTCAGTTCCTGCCTTTGCTGACCTGGCAAATCCTCGTCGAGACAGGTGGTCATTTGATAGTGAATCCTTTGGTTTCCATCGTGAAAGGGCTACTAGCCGAGGTTCTGGGTCATCTTCGTTCGATCTCCAAACCTGTGGCATATGTGCAAAGCTATTGAATGAACTTGCTGTTGCTGTTCTAGTTTGCGGCCATGTTTTCCATGCTGAGTGCTTGGAGAATATGACATCTGAAATCAATAGGTATGACCCAGCTTGCCCTGTCTGTACTTTTGGGGAGAAGCAGGCCTTGAAGATATATGAAAAAGCAAAAGCTAAGATAGAATTGAACGCTAGAAAGAGATTTCGAAACAGGATTGTTGACAGTGATATTAGTGGCAATCTTGCTCGGTTCGAGCGTCAGAAAAGTAGTGCTCATGAAGGAGGGTGTCCCAGGATGAGCTCCAGTTCCAGTATGAAGAGCCCTTCAAAGAGGCCCTTCCTACGGCATTATTTCTCCTTCGGTTCAAAGGGATCAAGATCCTACTCTGAGAGTCCTTCAACTCGGAGAAGGGGGTTTTCCTGGACAAGATCTAACAAGAAGTAGGTTTCTTTATGGACATAAAAGGTAAGGAAATTCCTTCAGACATTTCAACCAGTAATATTGTAAAGCTCCCTTCTTGTTTACATTGTCGGTTTGCAGTGGATTTCTGATAGATGTTAATCCAAATCCCATACTCTTGTCTGACAAATGGTTTACATTGCATTCACTTGTGCAGATAACCATGGGTATGCTCTCTCAGCTGCCTTTTTGGGTAGTAGAGAGTCGTGAAAGCAGTCATGATCTTGATGGTTGAAATGCAATGCATTCGCAGGCAAGTTATACATTGTAAAAAATGGGAAGAATACAAGGTGGATGATTAATTTGTTAAGTAGGAAAGAAGATGCAAATTGAAAATAGTTGTTGTTTCAGTGTATGTTCTATTGGGTTACCCATGAAAAATTGTCCTGAAGATTTTATATATATGATGCTTAAAAGTGCTCATCTCTATTGCCTATATAGTAGCAGATATTTGGTGTTCTACTCATTGCTTAAGAGTAGCATCAGTCCTTGTATAACTTTGTATTCTTATTGTATTTATTTGAGTCAGTTAGAGCGCCTAATACTCCATTTATCAGCAACTGTGAATGTCATGACACCTTAAAAGGATTGACTATTGCTCTTATAGAGTACTCAAGTTGAAGTAGCGACTTCAAGCTGGACATGATTGGTTATTGCTTGAAGTTGACTAATTTTTGGTAGACTGAGCATTTTAGGGGTCATTTGGTAGCTGGTAGTAATTATGTAGGGGTATTAGTTATTCCATCTTCTATCATGCGTATTAATTTTATACATTAAACAACTTATTTATTAACTAGCTATTAAACATGGTATAATTTGTACGAAAAATAATACATAGTACATGAACAAGTTTTGTGTTTTTACTAGCTACCAAATGACCTAGTTGTGTCTAGAGCAGGTCAGAGAATCGAAAGCAAGCTCTACATGAACAAGTTTTGTGTTTTTACTAGCTACCAAATGACCTTGTTGTGTCTAGAGCAGGTCAGAGAATCGAAAGCAAGC